TAAGTATATTGATATGCAAATGGATAAATTCTTAACTGGCTTTCGGTAAATCACTTCAGAACGTATTTAGGTTGCATGAATCGAAATCTAAACCCATTATATCGCCTTTTTAACGTACTAATGGCTGACGGTAAAAGTTCTTCCTCTTAAGCCGCCTCAGAACAGCATATGATTTTAGGGAATTTTATTATACCCTGAACAGGGTACATTAAGTTTACCAAGAAGTTTGTAATACACATAAGGAAACATTATAGACCTTATATATGGTATATAAATGGTCAAGGTGTCAAACTGAGTCGGTTTAGCGATGTTCGTGTGTATAGATATGAAATTTTACACACTTCCTTCTCACTAAGAAGCCTCTCATTTGTTGGAACCGTCTATATCGGTCCACAATATTATATAACTGTCATACGAATTTACCCATAAAAGTTAATATAAATATATTGTATTTTAATACGCTTTTATGCTATAAGAAATGCATCTGTGGAGAGTATTAAGGATTCGGTGCAGCTGATTTTAAAGTTTTTGTTTGCAGGGTTGTAATTTTGCATACGAAGGGCAATCGTCATTCGATCTAATCACCCATCTATCCTTGACATGAGAGCGAGTAATATATATTGATGTGTAATTTTAACCGCTTTACACCCACCATCATGGCTTAGTTTGTGTTTTTGCAGTAAATGAGTTTATCATGTAAGAATAAATAGCATTTTTTTTTTGGTAATAGAACTTCTCGCTGTCCAAAAATTCGATACCAAAATTTATTTGTTTTTGCTTTTAACATATTCGTCACCTCATTGATACCACAAGATCGCACTTAATATAAACAAGAAAAAAGGTAACTTCGGTTGCATCGAAGCTATAATACCTTTCAGAAATAAAAAAAATTTCTTACATACATACAAGAACTTGATTTAGATTGCCAAGTTTGTATGGCCCGTACATATATGATATGAAGGTTTGATCCAAAAAATTTGTTGGGCCATTGTAGCGTTGTTTTGTACAATAATCGATCTCGATGTCGAATTTCGTGAAGATATTTTTTCAAATAAAAAAAGTTTTTCATATAAGAACTTAATTTTTATCGTTCAGTTTGTATGGAAGGTATATGTTTGGTAGACTGATGCTGGATACTACTTAAGGATAAAAGGATGAGTGTAAAATTTCAGATCGATATCTCAAAAACTGAGGGGACTAGTCAGCTTTGTTACGCTGATCATTTATACATATTTTTTATAGGGTCTCCGAGGTTTCTTTCTGGGTGTTACAAATTTAATATAACATGTTCAAGGTAAAAAATATGATTTTTATGTAAGGTGGTATTTTGTTTATGAGGAACCGAAATTCTCAAAGTCACACAACTAAATTGTTTTAAATATTTCGATATATCCCATATATATTCCATCTTTTGATATTTTTAGAAATATATTTTTATTTTAAGGGCAGAGGCTCGAAAGCTTGCTAATAGTTTAATTAGAACAAAATTTATATAAATGCGTGGTGAGTTATTGTCCATGATACTTAATTTTATTAGTTATCTGGTTACTTGAATACAATCTGTATTTTTATCAGCTGATATTTTGACATTCAATTACTTAGCGACCATTCTCTCATGATATTATGGATATCATCCAAATTATGTACCGACTTGAGAAACTATTTACTTTAAACCAAGGGCACTATGTAATTTGCTTTTGTTGAGATATCTCTCCAATTGTACAAGATATATTAACCGTATGAAGAGAACTTAGAATTGACTGCATATGTATGTATTTGTGGAAAGTTGGCGTAGATAGCGTTCTCGCGTTTTACTTAAAATCAAGAAAGCAATAGAAAATAAGTTCTTCGATAAATTTAATACAATGAGTTGATGTGAAAACGTCAACCAAAGGATCGCAATTCAATATTTTAGGGATATAAGACCAATTTCAGTTATATTCCCACAAAATTTTTAAAAAATTTTTTGAATAAATTGTATTAAAGTATCACACATTTTGTCTGGTGGAAAGCCGGAAATTATTATGCAGACTATATTGGGGACAAAGAAATGGATGGGCTGATTGAATTAATTTTGACATAGCTGAGGTCAAGCATCATATTTTCAAGCAATTTTATAAATATATGCACATTGAACGACATGTTCGGCATAAGGTTTGTTAGAATAACGAAAATTAAGGTAGTAGTCTGGTAACTTATGCCTATTTTCATGACTTCTTTGGAGGGCGGTTTTTTTATAGAAAATAAAAATATCTTGAATATTTAGAGTGTTTTACATATTAAAAATATAAAAAAAAAATTGTTTCAAAAATTTAATAGTTTATTACTACTCGTATTATTATTGTCACTCGAAGTTGAAACCTCAAAAAAAATGCGGGTGGGTGATTTTGCTCTTGATGTTATCTGAAATGAAATATTCTTGATTATTCTCAATCTATAGACATGTCATTCTGGTCGAAACTACCGAAGTTAAATTTCAAGGGTAAATAATAAAATGGCGGACTTTGAAAAAAAGTCGTTAGTACCGACGAGGACTGTAAGTGTGTAGAATAGCCTGTTAAAATTTAAAAGCAATCGGTTCTGTAGAAAAAAAGTTAGGACCCGGGCCGACCAGTAAAACGCGTTTAAAGTTCAACAACAAATTTTCATAAGTAAACTTATATCAAATACTAACAGAGTACTGTGAATTTTAACTTAAATATACTTTAAAATAAATATATATTATAAAATTGTTTGTTACGCAATATTTAGTGGATTATATACTATTATCGATGCTAGAATATTAATAATATTAGGAAATAAGCTGTTAAATATATTGTATTTGTAATGCCCTGGTTCTATGCACAGATGTTAAACATCTCTATAGACTTGTACCAGATGAAATAAATAAATAAATATATACATAAATATATATATAAATATATATAATAGAATAACAGAGTCAACCTAGGTATAAGAAATGCGCGCAAGCAATAGAAGGGCCCAAGCGGTTGCAGCTGCCGGTCGACCGTAAAGGTTGGACTCCGAGGCGCTCTAGGAAACTCGTTATAACTCCCGAAACATTTCGAATTTCTATCTGAAATTTTTACAGTATATTCCAAAGACATTGTACTTTCAAATTAAGTAAAAAAATTTCGATTTTTTGAACCCAAGTTAACAGACTACTACCTAATATAGGTAATTTGGGAGATGGGGTATTCGTAGACTAAATTCGCATATTTTCGGCAATATATATATAATAATAATAACAGGTATGTATAGGTATAAGCCCAACCGGAAGTTTGAAAATTTTATATCAGGGATATGAGAGATTGGGGTAATATTGACCCGATTTTATCTATTTTTGGCAATACAACATACTATTAACAGAACAAAAAACTCCTTGAGTTTCATAAAGCGGCTGTTTGAAAATTCTGTGATTTGTTATATGAGGGCTAGGACAAGTTTTCACTCGATTTTACTCTTGTTAGTCATAAAGATGAGTCTTTATTAGGAAAATATATACACTTAATTTTATTGAAATAAACATCACATATTATGAAGTAAAACATAATTTCGAAAATATTTCGATAAATTATATGGGGACTAAAGAAAGTATTGACCCGCTACAATACATTTTTGGCATACTTGCATACTATTATCTAAAAGAGACTCTCTCCGAATCTCAAAGATTAACCGGTTTTTTCGGTAACAAGTCAGCACCAGATACTAGGGTCCCCATATTCCGTAATGGGGGATTGAACAGTTATGATCCGATTTTGACAGTTTTAAGACCTGAGATGGTATACCTCAAAAGCCCTATTTGCGTAATATATTCTTTGGTGCTTGATTTGTATACTAGAAATTGAAAGAATCATATGGAATTTAAAATTGTGCTAGATAGGAAGTAGGCGTGTTAAAATAATTTTATGTACTAAATTTTGTTGAAATTGATCAAGAAGTCTAGAGATATATGATCCCGGCTAAATGTGGGCGGTGCGACGTCCATCGTCCAATTTTGACATCGCCTTTATTCCGCAAATATCGCCAAATATGTAAGTTATTTTAATAAAATTAAGTGAGCATGTTTTTCTAACAATGGTGTATCTTTATGCCTAAAATAGATAAAATCGTGTGAAAACTTACTCTAAACCCTATATAACTGATAATCAGGATTTGAAAACATCCGGCTGACTTTATTCCTTATATATTGGTGATGGTAAGTGAGGTACCTTAATGAAACTGTAACGGTTACACCCGAACTTAGCGCTTCCCATGTGCACTGGATGCAGAAAATAAATATGGAATTTCACAATTTACATTGGAATGGCAGTGCCGCCATTTGTCGAAAATTGGTCGTACCAATTCAGAAACCTTTTTTGGCTCATGCACATCAGCTTTGCTAAAGATCATCACATGATCAAAATACATATATCATAATTTACAATTCTATAAAGGACATACCGAGAAACATTCAATTTTCAAACATTCGTTCGATATTTAAAAACTGAGGGAATAGTTCGACGGGCATGGCGTCATCGAAGTTTGTCACACTGATCATTTATGTATATATTTTATAGGGTCACTGACGTTTTCTTTTGGGTGTTACAAACTTTCTGGCAAACTTAATATACCCTGTTCAGGGTATGAAAAATGTGCATACAACTTTTTTGTAGCTATCAAATCTGTTTACAATAAATAATTAATTTCGAAATGATGACACCGTTTGCGGTCGCAACCCCACGAGGTTTTATTGGCTTATTTATTTATTACTATTATTTTTTAGCAAGACAAACAAGTCAACTTGGAAGGTACACATATGTGGATAATTATAAACACGCCACAGCCACATACACATATGTACGAGTATATACATGTATGTATATGGTATATGCACACATTCAAAGGAAAATCACCACTCCTCACTGCACCGATATCTAAATTGGTGGCAATCGTGAGCGTTTTAAATGTCAAGATGATGCCTTGCACATGAGATCATTGGTGGCAACATATCGCCATAACGTCGTAGTGTCGAGTTAAACGGTGTACCTGCAAATATTGGTTAGCGATTAGCGGCCGATGCATCAATGAATATTTGCCTAACTACTTGTACTGAATGTTTGGACTCATCATTAGCATCAGCAGCATCACTTTGCAGTTGTCGTTGTCGTCGCCGGCGTCGATGTGGTGTCACTAGGGAGGTTAATGTTTTTGTTGTTGTTGCTGGGGCAACGGTTTAATGGTTACAACGCCGCTTGGTTGTACTAAGTGTGGCTTAAAAATGGCTGATTTTGCATTTGTGGCAGTTGATGGTCGTCGCTTGAAGCTGGTTGCGGCAGTACCTGCTGTTGTTGCTTTAGTTCTTTGACATTGTAGTTGGACAGCTAAAAAGTGACTTGTTAAAATTTAGTAATTCATTAAACGAGTACTAACGATTAGTGGGATTAGTAATTACGATTACACGTAATATAGTCAACAAGAACAACAAGTAAGAAAATTAACATACATAAATATTTCAAATATACTTTTAAATTTAATTACTTAATTTTACTTCGTCGTGTGAATAACTACATAGATTTAATTAGAATGAAAATAGAAAACAATATGGGAAATAAAGGAGGTCTTGCTTAAAATTGAAAGAATTGTGAATATTTAATAAAATTAACTTGAGGATTTTCATAATTTAAAAAGTTTCTTAGAAGAGTGTCGTTATAATATCTCATATGTTCCGAAGGGTGAATATTATTCCATATACACAAACCGGTTTAAATTTGTAGGTAAACAATATTTGTCGAACATCTTAGGCACGATTAAGTAGAGGGCTTGTAGCATACAAGAGCAGCTATTAGGATTACAGCATAACGTTAGTTTTGAGAGATCCCTTATTTCGTGATTGTTTGGAATATCATTTGACAACTAATCAGTGTACAAGTATATTGTGTATAATAGCGATTATGATTTAATATATTATATATAATAATGTGATCCATGGAAAATTACAAAGTAGAAATATGACAGAATATAATAGTTTTGTTCACCTAGTGGTTATTCGTAATACCTAAAAGTAATTGAGATACTATAGATATAGGGTTATATATGCATATAAATTCGCTGCAATTAAGATGTAAACTGTGATGAAGCGAGTCGCTGTAAGGAATCAGTGGCTTGAAAGTCTTAAAAAAGTGGGCGTGGCACCGCCCACCTTTAAGTGAAATTATATACATATCTTAGGAGCATCTTGACCGATCTCAACAAAATTTAGTGAACATTATTATTTCAACATTCTTATCTTACAGTTTAAAAATGGCGAAATAAAAACCACACCCTTTTACATATGTCATAATTTTAAATTTTTAATTTATTTTAGAGTATGTAAATCTAATGACTTAATTGAAGCAAAACTTTGTACTAATAGGGCACGTCGAAAAATTTCCGAAATCGGACCATAATTTTTCAAGCCCTCAAATACCGAACACATGGACCCTAGTGCATATGACTGACTTTTTACTGATATTATCAGTCAATTTACCTAGTTATTTCGGACTTATGAGACAATAGTGCTAAGAGTGTTAATTTACGTATGAATTTCTTAGAATATATACTTATAGTACTACTATGGCTATTACTGCTGAATTGTACTTCTTGAATTCATCAATAAATTTGACCACTTCATAAAATACATATTTATATAACAATATAATAATAAAGAGACCTGGTACTAGATAATATTATTTGTTCCAGCATAAATATGAAACTTTGATGAATGGCACAATGCCAATCGAGTCACATTTACACAAACACCTGGCTGAACATCTCAACTCGGAGATAGCATTGGGTACCATAAATAATCTGGAGATAGCCATGCAATGGATGCGTTCCACTTACTTCTACGTGCGATCAATGCAAAATCCCTCACACTATGGCTTAGAAGACAACACGGATAAGGGTATTATTGAGCACAAACTGGAAAGTAAGTTCAAATTGAGCGGAAATCTACGCTAAAACGTAGTCGTGGTCTTGATAAAACATAAATTATTAATATATTCTATTCTCGCAGAACTGTGTTTAGTACAAATACAAGAGCTACAAAATGCCGGTCTCATCTCTAGAAACCCCCAAAATGAATTAGATGTGCAGACCACCAGTTATGGCAAACTAATGGCTAAATATTACTTATGCTTCGAGACTATGAAGCATTTTCGGCAGGTTAGTACAACACGGTGGAATAAAAATATAATTTTACATACTCAGAGTAGTGACACTGCCTACTTTTTGTTTTTTATCTCAGTAACTACTTACCAATTTCACCAATACTTGGTTCTCACTTTTAGTGTATTTAATTTGTAATACCTCTATATACCCAGTATCAAATTAATTTGATCTTAAAATCAGTCCATACCTTTTCCTAGCCCCATATAAACCATAAATATGTTCATATGTACATATGTAAAAATGAAGTGCTGTTTGTTAGTCTCCCTAAAACTCAAGAACGGCTGAACCGATTTTGCTATTTAAGGCCTGAAATATTCGTGGAAGTCCAGGGAAGGTTTCAACAAGGAAAATACTAAAAATTACAATATTATTTTCTCATACACACTAAAAAATTATGAAAAAGTTTCGTGGAAGATAATAAATTTTTTTTTTTTAATAATCTGAGAACTTAACTTATTTTGATGATTGTTATTAATTGGAATCATGATTCAATTATATAAGGTTGTGTCGATAGACCAAGAACAACAATTTGTCAAAAGTGTTTAAATTTATTTTAACTTTATAATTCAAAAATAAATTTTTCAAACATTCCAGTCAAGAAAAATGTGTTTTTTGAGTGATAACTTAATACGAATATATTGTAAACATCACAAAATCATCAAAATATAAATAAGAAATTCATGAAAAAAAACAAGATAAAGTTTTTTAGACATTATGAATTAGTATTTTTTTGTAAGAGGAAGCACGCTCCAAAGCAACACAACCTGTATATAATTGAATAATGATTGGAATGTAAAGAAGAATTTAGTTTCTTGTTATTAAACAACTGAGAACAGTTCATGGACATCTGTGTCCGACTCATCGTGAGGCGTGTCAACTACTTGAGTTGCTCGATAACGATTCGCATTAATATATGTATTACACCCAAGAACAGAGATGACATGTCTTAAAATGTGTTACATCATGTGCGTTGCCAAACTTTAATTCCTTCATTGCAAATTACTGCAGAAATTTACAATGAAACATTGATCATGATAAAAGAAATGTATTTATTGATGGCAAACAAAGTATTATCGTGTTTGGGCCTGAGCACCTAATCGTCATCTATGCAACATGCATTTAACTACGAGCTACTGAAATATTGATCCTTGATCAACTGTTGCTGACAGACTAAATGCATGCCCAAAATCATTCAATTTGTGGCGCCACGTAAAGAAATTCCAATTAGCGACTAACATGCGAGTGTTTTTGCCATTGTGTTTTCGAACTAAAAGGTCGCAGTTGACAACCCGACCCTATTAATAACATTTCCCTCAGATTTCTGTCTGTGTTTTTCTGGACATAAAATAACAATATAATGACCATAATTGAGTGAGTGAACGATCAATATTAGCGGCAAAAAACAAAGATGTCGATAATCTCAATGCGACAACTCAGAATTCATTTCCAGGAGAGTTGTTCACTTACAAATCAATTGACACAGCCACAAACCAGAATGGCGTAGTCAACTATTACACAGAATTTTTAAGTTCATTGGAATTACCTGGAGCCATATTGTATTATATTTATATTGGTAGCAATTGTAATTGTACAAAGTTCGTAATATTAAATGTTACATATCATCAACTATTAACTTTGTAATTTACTTATTTGTTACAAACTTATATAAAAAATTAATGGAATACAAAATTTAACATTTTATGTTGATTTGCCCTTAATATAATATATACATATCTACAAAAATTTTGTTCAATCATTTTCAAATTTATCAGCTACAACGTTTTCGTCTTTATGCGTAAGAATATTTTCACAAAAATGAAGAATTTACTACAATATAATTAAATGTATACCTTAGCCACAAAAGGGGTTGCCGTGTCTTCTAGTATCATCAATAAAATCTGTCTTTATGCCTTTTCGGTCAACTTTATTTCTTACACATATGTATATAGATACATATGTAAATTAAAAAAAAAAACTTCCTAAAGATTATTACCAAATTTACGAACCTTAAATTTGAAGTGATTTCATATTCGTTTTACTAAATAAATTTCATTTTATCCCTTACAGATCCGAGGTGATGAATCTTTTTTAAAAATGTTTGATCTAATTGTGCGCTGCAGGGAATTTAGCGATTTTACTCTAAGAGTAAATGAGAAGCGTTTGCTGAACGCACTGAATGATACACCATTGAGATTTCCCCGCCCCGGGCGGATCAAAACACGTGAGGATAAAATTGCATGGTAATTTATTAATCATTCGTGAAAAGTGGGGAATCCCGAAAATTATTATGAAAAAGTACATATTTCAACATATACGAGGGTGGGTTAAATAGATGCCGCAAAGTTTTAAAAAATATTTCTTCCAAATTAACTAAGTGGTAGCTGTCTGCCCTGTTTTTGTTTAATTTTGAAAGCTTATATGACCTTACAAATCACGAATAAGAATACGGAGAAAAAGATAATATATTTTTCGAAGCGATTCAATCAGATGACATTGATTTAATAAATATTTCAAAATTCCCGACGAAAACCTGCGTTGAATTTTTTCTAAAGGCTTCTTTTAGAGCTAACTCTAGTATGACAGCCTAAACAAAGGCGATTTTTGGGAACTAAAATAAATACAAGTAAGGAAGGACTAAGTTTGGATGTAACCGAACATTTTATACTCTTGCAACTTGCAAGGATCAAAGGAGGGAAAATACCTTCAGGTGTTAGGAAAACTTTATATTAAACAAGTAAGGAAATCCTAAGTTCGGATGTAACCGAACATTTAATACTCTCGCAAAGTCAAATGGTACTCTCGTTTGAGATTTCTTTGTGGATTGACTGATATTTTCGGTAGAAGGTCAACTATAGGCACTGGGGTCCACATATTTAGTACTTAGGGGCTTGAACAGTTTCGATTCGGTTTAGATAATTTTTGGTCACAAGGTGGCATACTTTAAACGTATTATTCACGCAAAGTTTTACCCCGATATAATCATTGTTGCTTGATATGCATAGTGGGAAGTAAAAGAATCAGATGGAATTTATAATGGTGTTATATGGGAAATAGGCGTGGTTGTAGTCCGATTTCCCAATTTCCATTTTCGCACTATAATATAGAAATATGAAAATAACGTTATGTACCGAATTTTGTTGAAATTGGTTAAGCAGATCTCAAGATATGGGGTTTCACCTAAAAGTGGACTGTGCCACGCCCAATGATTAAATTTGAACGCGGTTCCTATAAAGTCATCTCATACCATCCTAGAGATAAAATTGAATGTCTCTGGCGTGTTTAGTGCTTGATTTATCGCGCTTTTAGTAGTTTTTAACAGTACCGTTATATGGGGAGTGGGCGGAGTTGCCACCCGATTTCAACTATTTTCACACCGTCAATATAAGTGGTAAAAACATTTGCTTCCAGTGAATTTTGTTTTTATAGCATTAGCTGTTTAGGAGATATGCACATTAAACCTATTAAGGGCGGGACCACGCCCACTTTAAAAAAAAAAAGTTTAACTGCAGATGCCCCTTCCTAATGTGATCCTGTGTACCATACAACAGTCTTGTATCTTATTGCGGAGCTTAGTTATGGTAATTTATTTGTTTTTGATTAATGGCGTTTTGTGAGCGTGGCAGGGGTCCGATTACGCCCATCTGCAATACCAACCGTCTCACGGTACCAAGAAACATGTCTACTAAGTTTCATAAAGATATCTAAATTTTTACTCAAGTTAGAGCTTGCACGGACGGACAGACGGACGGACAGACAGTCACCCGGATTTCAACTCGTCTCTTCATCCTGATCATTTATATATATATAACCCTATATCTAACTCGATTAGTTTTATGTGATACAAACAACCGTTAGGTGGAAAAAACTATTATACTCTGTAGCAACAGGTTGCGAGAGTATAAAAATGATGCGAAATAATTCAACATTCATTATTTGACGAAATCGTAAATGGGTTACAATAAAAAATGGATTACGAATCGAACTTAGCCCTTCCTTTCCCGTTTATTATGAAGTTTTGCCAACACCTGAAGGTATTTAGCCGGCTTTGATGCTTAAGGGGATACATGGGTTTCACTGCTTCAAAAACAAACAATTTTTTTATTGTCTTATTTAATTCTATAATATTTCTGGAATATTGTCTTAAATTGATCCCAGTAATAGTTTTGGAGGTACGGCTTTGAAAAGTTGCGCGCTCGAGGTCAGCTATATGGTCACTTAAAACTTTAAACGCGTTTTTCTCGAAACTGTGTTTTCAAAGTCGGTTGTCAAGATTTCTCGCGAAGTACTCAACCGATCTTAATGAATTTTACATAGGTCTTCAAAATATTCTTTACAAGGTCTTGAATTTAATTACACTTATCTTCTTTCAATTACAATTATTTAAAACAAAAAAACCTCGATATATTTTCACCAAAGTTTGCGTTTGTTTTTTATACGTCTGCCAAAAATAATATTTTCTTTATATTTATTGTTTTTTCTCCGTCCAATACCTAGTTAATGGTCTTAGTTCAAACACCTATGTTTTCTTTTTTACTTTTGATGATCCTGTCAGAAGTTCTGCTGTCAACGCGTAAGCACCTTTTTTCGAAGGACTGCTAGAAATGACATCGTTATGACCGATTTTAGAATATTTTCCTTTGAAAATTTCACAAAATCGTTACTAAATAGGTATTGTATCTTCCGAATAATAAAGTTTGAATAAAATATTTCGTTTTTTATATGAAAATTATATTATTGAAAATAGGACGTTTTTTGCTCGACGAAACCCATGTAATCCCTTAATAGCTGCAAGAGTATACCATAAAATGTTCGGTTACACCCGAACTTAGCACTTCCATATTTGTTCTAGTTACAAGTATATACGCTCAACGGCTATTTTTAAAAGTATGAAAAACAATTTTTATACTCTCGCAACCTGTTGCTACAGAGTATAAAAGTTTTGTTCACCTAAAGGTTGTTTGTATCACCTAAAACTAATCGAGTTAGATATAGGGTTATGTATATATAAATGATCAGGATAAAGAGACGAGTTAAAATCCGGGTGACTGTCTGTCCGTCTGTTCGTCTGTGCAAGCTGTAACTTGAGTAAAGATTGAGATATCTTTATGAAACTTGGTACACATATTTCATGGTATCACATGTTTCTTGGTTGGTATTGCAGATGGGCATAATCGGACCACTGCCACGCCCAAAAAACGCCATTAATCAAAAACAAATAAATTGCCATAACCAGGCTCCACAAAAAGATACAAGACTGTTATTTGGTACACAGGATCAAATTAGAGAGAATAATAACAAAATTCACTGATAACGAATGGTTTTGGCACTTATATCGACACTGTGAAAATGGGTGACAGCCCCGCCCACTTCCCATATAACGGTACTGTTAAAATATACTAAAAGCGCGATAAACCAAGCACTAAACACGCCAGAGACATCAAATTTTATATCTGATATAGTATGAGATGACTTTATAGGAACCGCGTTCAAAATTAGTCAGTGGGCGTGACACCGCCCACCTTTAGGTGAAAACCCATATCTTGGGATCTGCTTAACCGATTTCTACCAAATTCGGTGCATAATGTTCTTTTCATATTTCTATGTTATAGGGCGAAATCGGACTACAACCACGCCTATTTCCCATATAACACCATTTTCAATTCCATCTGATTCTTTCACTTTCCACTATGCATATCAAGCAGCAATGATTATATCGGGGTAAAACTTTGAGTGAATACATTTAAAGTATGCCATCTTGTGACCAAAAATTGTCTAAGTCGAACCAAAACTGTTCAAGCCCCTAAGTACTGAATATGTGGACCCCAGTGCCTATAGTTGACCTTCTACCGAAAATATCGGTCAATCCACCAAAAAATCTCAAACGAGTATACCATTTGCTTTGCGAGAGTATAAAATGTTCGGTTACATCCGAACTTAGCCCTTCCTTACTTGCTTTTGTTATTTTTTTTAATTTCAATATAAATGGGTTCAAACTTTTTGAAATACTTTATTGTACTTTTTGAAATATTATTATATTATCTCCTACCCTCGTATCTACAATATCACGTTTTTTCACACGGAAGCTAAACGCTGCAAAAGTTGCAAAGTGTGGCAAACCCTATTGTATTACTTTGTTTAATCTCTTAATGATGTTGTATTAAATATAATTTAATGTGTGATAATTTTTATAATTTGCAGCTTGTTGCAAGCGATACTTGGAAATATACCGATCGTCTCCCCGACTTTGGCGCAGGAATCGTTGAAAATGCTACGTATCGGTGAACGCATTGCTAAATGTACCTTCTATGTATTTTTTTATTTTACTACTTATAAATATAACAAATGCATTTATAACTTCATTTTAAGTATGAAATTCTAAGCGCTGTTAAATTTACACACTTAAGTTTTGCAAATATTTTCATTTGCGCATTTTTCTTCTTTACTTTTTCTCAACTGCTTCTTCATAACATACATATGTACATATGCAAATGTATGCATGGATGTTTGTAGGTCTACTGGAGTATATGTGCTTGTCGGAGCATCAAGCGCATGCATTGCATTGCCGCTACAAGGCGTTATTGCATGCCGTGACAATCGCGAAATGCTTCCACGCCAAGTTGTGGGAAAACTCGGAGTATGCAGTGAAACAATTGCAGAAAATCGGTGCCGTTTACTCAGCTCAACTGGTGTGTGCTGGGAAAACTACATTGAAATCATTGGCAGCGACAGACGCGCGCACCATTGAAGCGGTAGGTGCAACAAGGGAAAATTAAATATTGCTCTGTTATGTTACTTACTGTATTTGTGTATATACGGGGGTATATACGGATGCATATATGTGTATATGCATAGTATTAATAATATAGCAAGTCTGTAGGTAGGTCACCCGTACGGTAGCTATCTGTCGTCCACCTCAATTGTATACAAACCTATAATTTGCGTTAGCAATGAATTATATTTGCCCCTTGTTGCCATCTTAACGGTTTTTGTAATCTATTTTGTACATATGTCTATATTGTTTGTTGAATTTAATTTGTTTTGTTGGCTTTTCTACTTATCTTACTGATTTCATTGATAGATACTGAAGAAATCATATCTCTTTGGCGATGAAATATTACAAAATTTGCAACAAACTTTCCCTGAATATACCTTACAATTGGTCCGAGATGCACAAAGTCTGGTGCGCGTCTTTGTGCGACAAGTTAATGAGGCCTTCGTTTGTCGTGGCATAAATACGTTGCTGATTGTTGGTGATTCCGCGAATCAGCTGCTGCTCATCATCGAAGATCTGTGAGTAATACTGATCAATATACTCCTATTATATATGCACTTATTTATTGAGTTTTGCTCTTCGAATTTCAGCGATTCATTGCTCTTGGAGTATGGTTCTTTTATGAAAACCATTAAACTGCCGAATCCTGATGCTGAGCAGTTGTATGCACATGTTGTTCATACCACATTAGGTACTTTATGATTCAGATTCAAATATTTTATGGTAAAGCATTACAATAAACGGTTGAGCTCCTACCAATAATTACGTTTATATAATTTGAGTTTATACCCGCTGCCAAGATGTAGAGTCTTAGAAATCTTAAAAGCATATCATATATTGGATACTGCTTAACCAGAGCTCGATCGTTGTTAGAAAACCGGTGCTAAAAGTATTATGCGAATATTCTGCAAACTACCATTCGGTTGTGGATCCTGCGTACAAATCTCGAGCGAGATATTTTCTCAGTAAATTCCATTTCGCCGGAATAAAAAAGCTTTTACTTCATTGATGCTAAAACCGCCTAAACCATTTTTATAGATTAGTCTCAAATCTAAAGACCAAATGAATGCATCACCACTTGCTTGTATTTCTAATCATCCATTTTAAAGTCTGATATTTCCGGTCCTGGCTGTTGACTGATCTTCTTTTTTCATCGAAAGACGAATTTACTCAGTTTATTAATTCCAAGTCTGCATTGTTCTTAAACTGATTTTACGATAGCCGAGGGGGACCAAGGATACGAGTGAGCTGACCATTCATCACTAGCCTACCCTATCAACGGCGCAAATGTTTGTTCTTGCGATATAGGCCCTGGTTGGAATTATTTAATATAATTTTAGATTGAAGGAATCACCTTAAACCTTGTTTAGTATACTTTGGGGAGACCCTTGCTAACTCTGACAGAACTGCAACAGTGCCGAAGTTTAGCATTTTGCATAGATGTAAGTATGTATATGTTCCGAGAGCATGTTAAGTGTGAACAAAGCGGAGAAAAGATAATTCCTAATCGTTTTGTCGTGGATTCATATACATATGTTGTTGCAGTGACATAAAATAGTGTTTAAATATTTTCGTAAATTGCTGCCGACTTAATATTCATTGTCCACATAAAAATCCGGGTTTGAACCAACTCGTATGTGTCGATGGATAAACAAGTGCCAAACTATTCATAAACTGGTAAACTTCCACTTTTTCCAATCGCTGCGGTGGAAGCAGTACATAGCTACAAGTATTTTCTTTTTGTCATTAAGCAGCCTCAGAACCAGTCAGAACCAGTCTGAACCTTTTTGAATTTTATCTTTCCAAAAATAGTTTCGCTTGGCGAAGTCCAATCACTTGTAATCATCGCCCTCACTTAAGGTAATACATCGTCTAATAAAATGCATTCGATTTACATAATCTTAATTTGTTTTGTTTAACCCATGTATTTTGATATATTTTCTTATGGATATATAGAATATGGTACTAGAGAAATTTATATTTTCAGTTCAGATGAGGTCAATGAATTGGTTATAATTAGAATATTAATTGCGCTCGCCAAAGGAGTAATAGTTATATTAGGCTTTCAAATCAAAAAATTCAAAAGTTTCCATCAACCTTCAAGTTAACAGCCAATATAAATATTTTTCACAACTTTTTCAGGGAATCGCAAAAAAAGTATCCGCTAGGAGTCCGTAAAATTAATTATAGTTTTAAACTACACTTTCTCTCCTTTTTCAGTTGGCGTTGATGTACACGAGACATTGATTTTAAACGATCCTGTCGTAGAAAACACAAATGTATTTAAATCAAAAATGTCTAAAAAACGAAAGCAACAAACAAAGATAACGTCAAAATGCAACAAAAAAGTAAAACCAAACTTCTCCAACACTAGTGATGCAATTTGCGATACAACGATCGACAGTACAGTGGCAAACAAAAGTCAAAGTTTCTTAAATTTACAAAGCTTTACTTTTTCGAAATCAAAACTCAGTAATGATACCATTAAATTGAAGACCGTTGAACTGGAACAGCACTGTGCACAGAGTAAATCAAATTGCAAAAAGTATCTCAATATAACAAATACTACCGTAAATGAAGAATCATTTATCACCTCAGTTAAACAATTTAATGACAGTTCAACGCTCGTGCAAAGTAAATTAACGCAATATTTCACACAAAGGAAGCATATAAAGGATAAATCATTAACGATCAAATCAGTGCAAAGTGATGATGAATGTGACATTTCAAAGGCAGCTAAGTACGTGCAAGATAAGTCCGAAGTAATGCTAGATAAATCGCTAGACCCAACTTCGTTCAAATATCAGAGACTTTTAAAACAACGTGATCTCGATTTTGACAAATTAAAGGAAAGTAAGAATAAACAAGTGAATGAGCGAGATTTAACAGCTATCAATAATACAACAGGTCAAAAAACACCAGATTCAGTAGAAATTACGAAGAATAGTGTTGAAGAGTGTTCTAAGCCAGTTAATGAAGCAGAATCAAAAAACGAACGGGAATCTATAGTGCAGACGCTTCGTGCAACAACACCAGAATTACACGAAATTTCTGCGTTTTTGGATACCCAAAAATCAAGGCGATCTAACGCAGAAACACAAAGGTCGAAAACCGTTGAATGTTTTGAAATTTTGAGAAACAGTCCAATAGCAGATTGCAGTATTTTCAATTATACACAAAATTCTGTACTGCTGAATACACAAAGCTCGAGACCTAATAGTGAAGCAGTGCAAAATAATAACACCGTTACAAGCACTGAAAATCCAACACTAAGATACACTCAAAGTTCATTTCTCGGCATGTCGAAGAATAATAAAAAGCTTTCCAGCTTTTTCCACAAGTCCGAAGATAAAACAATCATTTCATTTGATTCCTCAGTGCTAAATGTAAAAATATTAAACTCCGGAATCTCCAATATGATGCAAAAAGAATTCGTCAGAAGCAATGCTATTCCAACTAATAATGAAGAGCCTTTGGATCTAACTAGGAAATCCAAATCCTCAAATAGCGCTTATAAAAAGGATGCCAAACATTTAAAAGCTACCAATCCAATCATAATTTCTCAAAATACTCTAAATACAGACACTGTTAAAAGCGCAAAGCTCTCACGCTCACATCTGCAGAATTCAGAGAAAGACCACTGCGTCCTAGATCTGTCACGGAAGTCTGAAACTAATTTGAATATGTCGTGGTGCGACAGCAAAGCAGTAGACGAAATTTCTGCCGGTAGGATTACACTGACCAGCAAAAGTTCCGAAGTTCCGCTTAAGACCAGTCAAAAAAGTATTGAGAATTACATACTTTGTTATAAAGTAGCCTCCGCTTATGCGCGTCTTAGTGAAAAAGATCGTACAATCGGAAATTTCAAAACCCTCTACAAACGAGTGCGGCACACAAATTCAGGCATAGATTATATAACTTATAAATTGAGCCACAGTAGCATCAGTCACGATGAAGAGCCAAAGGCAGTGCCAGTGCAGAAATCCATGACCAGACACGACATAAATAGTGCTATAATGGAAAGTTGTTTAAAAAAAAGTGAACTACCCTTAAATATGTCGAAAAAGTTGATAGTTGAAAAACAAGTGAAAAATGTGCTAAATAATGCTAATGTCAAACCAATCGCACCGGTATTACGGTCCAAATTAATAAAAATAAAAAATAATGAAGAAAAAATGTGCGTGCAAATGTCTAATAAGAATACAAATCAAGATACGTCATCTATGTTTCCGAATCGTTATCGTTTGCAGTTGAATGAAGTGAATAATGAAATTAAGACCGCACAAAATATTAATAATGAGGTTATGCACTTAGTGCTCGGCATGAAGTGTAAAGCTATTGGCGCTAAAGAAACATATCAATCTCTACAAGGTTTGGATTACAAAGCAATCGAACAGGATGCAGAACTTAATGAAATGCAAAGTTTGCCAAGTATGTCATTCGAAGAATATTGCAGCTATGTACTTCAAACACCGACTAAGTAGTAATTCAAGCAACACTTTTTTAGTTTCTAAGCTGTTATATATCCATCTTATGTACTTGTACGGAAAATAATGGTAATAATATTTAATAATTAATTTTATTTATTTCCTTTCCATCTCTTTTAACATGCCAAAAAAATATATATGGTAAGTACTGTCAATAAAAATGTAAAAGTAAAGCTAATTAAAATAATAAATATAATATTTTAGTCGAATAGTGGGAAACATTATGAAGCATCTAGGATTAGACTCAAATTGATGCGAAATTATGCAAGGCGCAGACGTCCCGTTAGAATCTGATTATCTGATTGTTTATTCCTACTTCCACTATGTAATTTCCAGAAATCAAATAATTCTTCTTTCATATCCAATTCACATTTATTGTGACGTTCTGACGTTTGTATTTTCTGACGTTTTAACCCTTTTATTTTAATATCTTCATAGTTTCTTTATATTTCTTCTTAGTACGTAGTTTTTGTATTTGAAAATTTGTTTCCCCTTTGTATGAATTCCCATTGTTCTAGTTTAATTCTCGATTAGCTTAGACCAATTTGAGCAACTTCAAAATCCCTCAAGCATTGAATAATAAACGGATGAACACTCTGATAACAACAAAAGCATTTTAATTTTATCAAATATGATGATATTCATCGACAAATGTTTCTAGCCACATCTTTATACCGTGTTTGTTTTTTAACGGTTTTTATATCGTGGCAACTACGTAAAGTTTTTCGTAATAATCTGAAAAATAAAATGAACACATATAAATTAAAAAAAAAAAATTGTTAATAAATTAACAAAAAACAAGGAAAAACGTTAACTTCGGAGCTAGAATACCTTTCACAAATAAAGAAGTTTCGGTTTGTAAGTCAGCTATATAAAATAATGGTAAAGAATAGCTCCTTGGGGAGAAAGGGACGAGTGCAAAAATTTACATCGGAATCACAAAAACTAGTTCATTTATACACAGACAGACGGACATGGATACATCGACCAGCTCGTCACACTGATCATTTATACAAGTATATATATATTTATATTTAATAGAGCCTCTGGCGTTTCCTTCCGGGTGTTACAAACTTAAATATTTAATATAAACCCAATAATAATATGTGGATATTTTTAAATTTATTATACTTATATAATATAATTTTATAAACGATTAATTATATTTAGCTTCGTTTGCATATTAGCTTGCTATTCACTGCTTAGCATTTGACATGCTTAATATAATTAATGGAGTATGTTAGGTTAAGAGGTCTATTGTAAGAGGGATCTCACTTGGACAGCTTAGAACGTCAGTCGGTTTTGGTATCTAAAATTCCTAAAAACTGGATAATAAGACCCTAACAGATCGACAGAGCGCTTTGAGCATATCACAAATTCGTTGAGACGGCTGATATTCAGTGTTCGGCTTTTCTGGTTCGCCGAAGGTAAGATTACCGACATGTTTCAGCTTCATTCTTGCGAAGGCTAAACAATGGAGCAGAAAGTTAGAACGCCAAATTGCGGCCCAATGAACTATGCCTAGGGCAAGTAGTTATGTAGATCTCTTGCGTTCTACTCTAGGCCAGAAGGATCTCTAGTAGGATAGGAGCAGATCGTAGACCAAGTGCACGTAAGGTCCATCGGCTTTGCAATTTCCAGCGATTCCGCTGTGACCAGGCACTCAAATAAGTCTGATGATGAAGTAGCTGGATTCTATTTTCAGTGAGGACAGACACTCTTGGACTAGCTTTGAGCGCGCAGTTAACGACCTCAGCGCTAGTATTGCCGCTCTGTGTCGTAGTGATTGCTCACCTCCCTGAAAGAGGCTGCATTTCGCAGCAGTATGTCTACTACCACCTTGATAGCAGCCACTTCTGCCTGAAAAACACTACGGTGGTAAGGTAGCCTAAAGCTAAGATTGACGGAGAGCTCCTTACAGAAAACTTCATTTCCAATCTTCCCTCCTAGCTTCGACCCATCCGTAAAAAAATCTCAATTCGCTTATTCTCCAGCGACTTCTCCCCATCCACATCTCACTTGTCGGTATGTAATTAGAGAAAAAGAAATTAATGAAGTAAGTTTTGGATATATTTATAAGTCTAAATTTCAAATATTTAGCTCAATTTAGCTAATGTACATATGTAGATGGAGCTGTAGAAGTTATAATAATAACTAAGCACTAATAAAACTAAGCCATTTGCTGGCCTTTCTTCATATATATACTTATATATAATATATATATATATACTTATATATATATATTATATACTTATATATATATATTATATAAGTATATATCATAACTGATGCTTTTGTTGTTAAAAAAACTTCTTGACAACTTTACATTTTTCAAATACAATATAAAATGTCTGTATTTGCATACGCCTTTAGGAGTATATACTTGTATTATATATTCTTAGTCAAGCCCAGTATTAATATTGACTCAATTACGAATCCAAGAGCCGATTCTTGTCCGTTTTACAAACAGTTTTGCACGCATTTACTTAAACTATTGGTATTTCTATGGGTACATCTACCATCAGCCTTTAAAAATTATTGTAATATTAACCATTCCACAAATATGTATGTATGTACATGTATTGTATATGCTCAGCTGCTTTCATTCAGCTCTTTATATTCACGCTTACGCTCCGCAGGTATCTTATCCTCGGTCACTTTATCGAAAACTTCGCTCACATTACTAACATTACTATTCTGATCTTTCGCCGTCAAATGTAAATTTGGCGTAGAGAAAAGCGAGACACGAGCTTTGCGCAAATGCGGCAGACTGCCGAAGAAAGATTGTCGCCTAGTCGATTTACAGCTTATATCATCCGTTGTGCAACTCGTGCCACAGTTATTGCCATTGTAGGCGATATTAAAATGCTTTGGCCTAATTTTCACTGACTTCCAACGATATTTTGACTTTTTTCCCGCCCCACCCACGCTGTTGACACCGTTCACCACACCACCACCACTGCGACCGCCAGCAAAGTCTCCATTACCATTCACCTGTTGATGTGTGGCTTGTTTATTGCCGAAAGTTGTCTTTGGTTCATAGTGGCGCGCACATATTTTACCTACACGCACTTGCATCGATTTGCGGTGTGCGCCAAATTTGCGTTTAATGCTGGCAAATTGTGATGACGATGTGTTTGTTTGTATTGCAGTGGAAGCTGACGCTCCCGCTGGTTGCTTCTTTCCCAATGTTGTTGTTTTGCTATTGCTCGTTGTGGGTGTAGGCGACGGTGATGGCGTTGATAAATCTATGTTGTCATAGTCAGTGTGATGGTGACGACGCATGCGCGTAAACTGTAGCAACGAGTTGACTTTCAAACGTGTTATGTATCGCCAAAAAGCGTTAGGTTGCGTCGCAGAGGTGGCGATCTGCAAGTGGAGGTTGTAAAGGTATTAAAATTTTGCTAAGGAAAGTTTTTGTTTGAAAGTTATGTAGATTTATGCTTTCATTTTTATTTTTTTGTCTTTTTGCAAGTTTAGATACAGTTTAAGGAGATCACTATATCCTGAATAGGGTATATTAAGTTTGTCACGAATTTGGTAATATTTCGAAGGAAACATCGGAGACCCTATAAAGTATGTATAACATATATAAATAAATAATCAGCGTGACGAGCTGGCTCGATTTAGCCATATCTGTTTGTCTGAAATACGCGAACTAGTCCCTCAGCTTTGAGATATCGATCTGCAATTTTGCATACGTCCTTTTGTCTCCAAGTAGCTGCTGGACCACCCATATCGGACCACTATAGCATATATATATGTAGCTTCTATACTAACTGATCCATCAAAACCAAGTCTTTGTATGGAAACTTTTTTATTTGACAAGATATCTGTATTAAAATCGGCATGGATTATTGTTCAAAGCAATGCCATATTCTCCGAACAAATTGTTCACTATAGTGTATAGCTGCCATATAAACTGACCTGTCTAAATCAAGATAAAGATCTTTTTATACCCTTTTATGCTATCAGAAATGCACCTGTGAAGAGAATTATAGATTCGTTCTAGCAGAAGGTTAAATATTTTCTTGTTTAAGGTTATGTTGTTACTAAGCTACATATTACAATTTGGTTCCCAAACATTCAAGAAATACAAATGAAAATATTCTTCTAGTTTGGAAATACAAAGCATATAAATTCGCTCATTTCTCTTCACTAAGTGTTAGAGTTTTCTTTAGAAGTGGATGCACGGATATTTGCATGAGGTGCTGCGGAACTGACTATCGAATACAATGCAATAACAATAGAAAGTAAGGTTAATTCCATTTTCATAGATTCCCGATATACTCCGTTATATTTCGTATGAACTTAAAAAAAAACTATCATATTATATCAATTATCTTCCGGTTTATAGTATACCAAGTTTTGCTTTACACGGTCACACAAATTTCATCCCACTGATCTTAATTCAAAGAATTAGAAATATAAGTAAAAATAATACCTTTTGGCTGCCAAAATTGTCAAAACCAACAGGTTCATATATATTTTCATCCTCTTCAGCATTTGGTAATCCACCATTCTCACAATTCGGAGCAAAGTTATCACCATCCTCGTAGATGCCATCGATGTCATCCTCATCTAAATTACTATTTGATTTCTGTTTTGAAATGGGAATAAATTTATTAATTTTTCTTTATACTTGTATGTATTAAAATCAAGTATGTTTTTTACTCCGATTCAATTTAAAAAGTATTATTAATTATCACAATTTTAAAATTTTTGAGAGTATTTCTTTTCTGATCTATCACACCAATATTTGAGCTTATGTATTTCCCATCCAAATGTTTTCTACAACTACTCATTTCGTTACTTTTTACAATATATAGACAAATTTGGTCGGTATCGACACCAATTTCGAACATTTTTATCGGAATCATAATTTAGCACAGGCTTGTATATTTATCACTTCACTGCCACTTACCCCCATCGGTCCATTTCCATTCGTCAGCCCCACACTGGGCTCCACACCCTGTATAATGCTTTCATAGCTTCTACACCGATTCGCCTCTAAACTTTTCAAATTGTTTTGCACATTTCGTTGCTGTCGCTGCGCATATTTGTGCGCTAAGTCCACAACAGCATAAATCGGCTCTGATGATCTATTACAAGTCGCCGACGTTGCTCTGTCCACAACGAGTTGTTGTTCTTCATCACCAACACTTTCCACATCACTATCCATCGACTTTCCATTCACCTCACCGGCAACTGTTTTGTTCATACTAGCTCCAGATTCAATAAACGATTCTTCCTCCAACTTGTTCGTTAGGACAACACGCCTCTGCTCATGTCGCTCAACTGTGGCATCTGCATTCGCATACGACACTGTTTCCTTCCGGCCTTTGATATTCATGCGTTGAATTTGGTCTTTCACTATAACCATTGCATGACTGGAAATAGATTTTGGAGTAAAAAAAAAGAACGATTTAAAAAATATATATACTATTGTAAAAAAGAAAAACACAATCAAACACTACACACTCTAGTGCATCTCGAAAAGTGCGAGTATACTAGAAAGGAGATGTGACTGTCGTGTGTGTGTTGGCGTTGTGAAGCCTCATCTGTAAGGCATCTGTTATTTGACTGCACATGCAACTATCCTTGCGTGCTTCAAGTATATGAATACAAATACACACATTTGTACCATATATATATACATAAGTATACACTTGAATTGTTTTGATTCTTACTTTTCCAGCGTTTTCAAGTGCGTTCGCTGTATGGAACAGACATTCAAAAGAAAATCACTCTGTTTTACTTTAAATGTATACATTTGTGCGTGCTAAACACTTCTACTTAGGTATATAATTACAGATCATTTGAAATTCTAGTTTGAGCTATACCATGTGCTGCTGCAACGCTATGCGTCGTTGCTAACTCCAATGATTCAATGCCTCAACACAATGCCTATGCCATCTAAATCTGTAGAAATGCATGTATATAGCTATATGAACATGTACGTTGGTCATATATAAGAATTTAAATTTCCTCCTTGTCGTTGCCGCTAATAGCTGGATAGATGGATGTTGCGTGATGCTTGTCGCTGACACTCAATGGTGCCTGTTATTCCGCTGTTTACATTGACTTAAGAGTGAAGTCAAAAATAGCACGTCACAGTACGGTAATATGCACACATCATATGCACATACACACACACACTCCTAAATATGTATGTACATACATAGCTTGTTCATAGCACATATGCAATACTTTAGACTTTAAATGACTGCATCAACGCATCCGCTATACGGACTTTATTCATTCAGTCACAGCGAGCCGATTGACGTGTCCACCCTATCCAGATGCTTTTGTGGTCTTCATAGACATTGTTTTGATATTTTATTGGCTACGCATTACCTCTGATACCCTACACCGTGGTGGTATGGTTAGTTCAATATCGGAAACTAGTATTTTTGATAGAAATTCATCTACGTTGGGGCACAATAATTACCTTTACGTTGATTTAGAAAATAATAAAGGTGCCATTTAAAAGCTTTAGTAATCCCTATCTCGCATTGTATAAGGGGTAACGCTTTATAGCGTTAGAAAGATAAAATTACTTTCTCAAACAGTTTTGTGATTGCTTGACTTCGTAGCGTAGAGTTAAGGCAAAAAAACCTCATGAACCTAATTGCCATCTGCGAATCGCTGTTGATTCGCAACAAAATCGATGCATTTCTAAAGCGGATGGCTGCTGGTGATGAAAAATTACGACAACTTCAATCGAAAACGATCCTGATTGAATTGTTGTACAGATA